TTCCTCATGTTTGTGATGAGTATAGGAAAAGGTTTTCAATGATCCTAGAATATTACAACCATTTAAATTCACATTTATCTGAAGGGGTTTATTTATGTCAATACTGTGAATATTCAGCAGGCAAACTGAAGATCTTAAAAGTCATCCAGACTTCAAACATTCAGCTGACTTACTTCATAAGTATAATTAATGACTACTTGATGAGGTTTGGAAATGGAGAAATTATTAAGTCCATGAGGCAACTATATCATTCTGTTTAACTAACATAACATTAATGTAAAGTCATAAATATGACTTTTTTGGAGATGTCAAAAAAAGAAAATACCTGTGCTCCGTTTTCTGAAGCAGGGGAAAAGTGGACATACTCAATTAATTCAAAACCACGCTCAGACCGTGAGAAGGTACCGGCTGGTCGAGGAGGTGATGGTGTATTAGGCCTCCAAAATGCACCTCCTCGAAAGCCACGATTCCACAGCAAAGCGGTAGACAAGGACCTCCCCAGAGTGATGGAGACCGGCCCTTGCGGAGGACAGAAAGCAACGTCCCGGCACACTCTCCGCAAGCAGACCGAGTCTCTGCGCCTAACAACAGCTTAGAGTGTGGCCAAGACCTCCGCAGTGAGAAACGGAGGCTCCCCACGAAGCCCCGTTAACCTGGAACAGACGTTGGCCACGCCCCGCGGCCCCCGGCCCGAAGCGGATCCTCCCGCGCGCCGCAGACCCTCTCAGGTGCGGAGCGTCGAAACCCCCAGCTCCCCCTCTCCCTAAGCCCACGTACTACCTCTCCGACGTCCCCGGGCCTCTCAGTCCCCTCAAACCAAAGCCGGAGTCGCCGCAGCATTTACGAAAGAGCCGCCACAATCACCGCCTCCGAGGGAGCCCCGCCCCTGAACCAAGGGCTCCTGGGAAATGTAGTGCCCACCGGACCCTGTACGCCTGTGCTCGGGCACCACCAGGCTCACGCAAACTACTATTCCCAGCGACGTCACAGCGGGGGATGTTACCTAGGGGATTCGGGCGGGCATCTTCCTCCCCGGGCCGCAGGGAGGGCGGGGCGTAGGGAAAAACGTTTCTTGAGTAAACTCCGCCATAGACCGGAAGACCCGCCCCTTTGAGAACTGGGAGCGCGCCTAAAGAGATGGTGAAGCCCTCCAGGGTGTAGGCCTAGCGGAGCACCCTGGCAACGCGTGTAGACGGAGTGTGGGAGGAGGGGCCTTTTGCTTACCGTTGGCCTGTTTGAGAGGTTTGACTTTTCTGTTTTCTGCTTTGGTTGAGAGTGACTTAGTAATGGGAAAAATTGGCCACACAATTTTTTAAGATCACTTTTTAGTTTTCAATTATAGTTGACATATTATATTAGTTTCAGGTGGACACTCCAGTAATTAAACATTATATAACTGATTAAATGATCATCCTGATCTCATTGTAATCTGACACTATACATAGTTATTAGAATACTAGAGGCCCGGTGCACAAAAATATGTGCACTCAGGGGGGGGTCCCTCAGCCCGGCCTGTGCCCTCTCGCAGTCTGGGACCCCTCGGGGGATGACCACCTGCTGGCTTAGGCCTGCCCCTGGGGGATTGGACCTAAGCTGGCAGTCAGACATCCCTCTGGCAGCCCGAGAGCCCTCGAGGGATGTTTGCTTACCAGCAGGGAGCAGACCTAAGCTGCAGTCGGACATCCTTAGTGCTGCTGAGGAGGCGGGAGAGGCTCCCACCACCACCACTGTGCTGGCAGGCATCAGCCTGGCTTGTGGCTGAGCAGAGCTCCCCCTGTGGGAGCGCACTGACCATCAGGGGAAGCTCCTGCATTGAGAATCTGCCCCCTGGTGGTCAGTGTGTGTCATAGTGACCAGTCATTCCCAGTCTTTCTGCTGTTAGGGTCAGTTTGCATATTACCCTTTTTATTATATAGGATAGAGGCCTGGTACATGGGTGGGAGCTGGGCTGGTTTGCCCTGGAAGGTGTCCCGGATCAGGGGTGGGGGTCCCCACTGGGGTGCCTGGCCAGCCTGGGTGAGGGGCTGATGGCTGTTTTCAGGCTGGCCACCACCCCCCTTTAGGGTGGGGGTTTCCCCACTGGGGGTGCCTGGCCAGTCCTGGGTGAAAGGTCTGAGAGCCATTTTTCAGGGCTGGGCCAAGCCCCCCCAGCAACGGAAGCTCCCAGCCTCCTCCTTTTTTTTCTTTCCTCTTTTTATTCTGGGGATTTATTTA